CACTGTGGACATGTTTGGTTCTACACCTTGCCCTACAACTGCAACAAGTCCAGACTTGAATGATTCCCCAAGAGGGCCATTTTGCTACCAATGTTAATTGAACGCCTCCCATACAAGAGGTTTGTTTTTCTAACACATACTTCTAACATAACAGACGCACTGTATCACGTGGAGCTCTCCTTGTCACGATGGTATAGAGCAAGAAGGGCAGACTCCGAGGCAGCATATAGCCACTGCAGCGGGCCCGGTGACCGTCCGGTGCATACATCAGCAGTCATGAACAGACTGGCAGCTATTGGCTGGACTCGTCACTCGACGCAACTCAATTCATCACTTCTACATGACATTGTAGAGGCTAGCTGGTTAGTGCTTGTGCTTGCTTGCGCTTGCTTGTGCTGGCTAGACTGTCAATTCCAGCAAATTTTGCAGTGTGTTTTGGAGACCTCCAGACTCGTGACAACAATTTAAGTATACTACGGTAGCTAGCTACTGGTAGCTGGCTAGAGGTATAGTAAGCACAAGAACAAATCCGTAGATAATTGACATACACTTGCACTCTAAAACCCCCAGGAGGAACCGGAACAACCTTCCCGTGATGCGAGTGGAGGTTCGAAGTTCGAAGATCCAAAAATCCACGTCTCATCAGATTTTAGCCAGCAAGCTGTCAGAACCTGCTCAATTGACACTTCTTCGAAGACCCTCCATCCATGCATGCATTGCCAGGCAAAATCACGGTTCAACGCATCTCCCTGCATCGTGCCCTCCCCTCGAGCTGTGTCCCCATCCTCATCTTAGCTCTCTCTAATCCATAGTAAACCCGATTTGACAATCTCCCATGAAACGAATTTAAGCTGAAGATTTCAGCGGCTAGCATTCTTGTTCCTATTATACAGTAGCTCTCTCTGATTTGAAGACGGTACCAATACTGTTACGTGAGTTTGTTGAAGTAAGATGCCTTCCAGCCGTCGTCCCGTTCGAAGGATCCAATCGGAAGGAGTGCCGAGGGCATCATCGTCTGCAACAACAACGACAAAGAAGAAGAAGAAGATCCAACGACGATCGACCAACAGCAGCCGACGAGATCATGCTAGTAACAATGCAACGATCTATGAAAATGTGAATTTGAATTCGGTCCGAGGAAGTCTCACGCTGAGTGATGCAGAATTGTGCTTTGAATCCAACGATGGTGGGAAGAAGATTCACTTGAACTGGGATCAACTGAGCGATCACAAAATCAATCGCTCGGTTCACAAACTCAAAATCATTTCCAAGAAGAACAAGGCCAAAGTCCTCGAGTTGCCCGATCGCAGCAGTCTCATACAGGTACACAAAGATATTCAGAGACGGAAATCCAGTACTGGAATCACCACTGGAAATAGTGCCGACATTCGAATTTCCTCCTCCATGGATGATTCTCTCCGCATACAAGATTTTGCCTTGAACGATACTACTGACAACAATGACGACAATGACAATGAGTTCGAACCACTGCACAGTTCCATGCCCGTGATTCCCACTGATCATAGTAGCAATGAGACCGATAGCAGCAGCAAAGCCAGGCCCAAGCTGCGCAAAACCAAGAGCCAAACGGATCGCAAAAAGAAGAAGAAGAAGAAGAAAGACCCCCTGTCATCCATCAGTGAACACCAACAGAAACAACCAGAATACAACTGGAAACAACATCTCAAACAACTCAAACTGCAACACTCCAAACTAAAACCTCTCCAGTCCTTGAAGGAAGAAGAAGACGAAGAAACACTACCAAAAATTGACAAAAAGAAAACAGAGACTGATGATGCAACCTTGGAACCTGCGAAACGACTGGACGAATGCTCCAATAAGACGGATGAAGATGCCGGTCCAGAAAACAAGAGAATCTCCTTGGAACTTTCCGATCTGGGTCCCAAACAAAAACTGGCCAAAGCACTCGTCGGCAGCTCACTCACCGAGGATGGAAATGCTTCTTCCAAACGACAACAAATGATTGATGCCTTGACGAGCTCGGTGACATCCAACTCGTCCAACGATGGCAACAACAGCAAACGAACCCTACCAGAATCACTCAACAACTCACTCACGGGATCCTTCAACATGACGGAGGAAGAAATGGAAGCGCAAATCTTGCTCGTCATGGGTGGCAACGCTAACAATACTAATACTACTAGCAATCCACCGCAAGACGAAAAGGCGGCTCGCAAATCCCGCATGAGTATGCGCATGTCAACGCGGGTGTCCACCATGAATGCCAATCGAAGGACCAGTCGCATGAGTAATACCACCAATACTAATAAGCGCATGAGTACACGCATGAGCATGACCAACAATCCACGTATGAGTACTCGCATGAGTGTCACACGACGAGGCAGTGGCAGTTTTATCATGCTCAAGGATTTGGAAGAACGAGATGAGTTTCACAAGGTACAAGCCGCTGGCTTTTTGAGGGAACTGTACAAGCTTGCGGAAGCAGAAACCAACCAAGCATTAAAAGAAACCATTCTGACAAGGAGTACTTCCTCGGGTCCTGTTGGTGGTGGTGGTGGTGCATCAGGAGGAGGCAAGGCCGATGGGGATATCAACTTTGAGGGACTGGATCTGGCAACACTGACTCCAGAACAAGGCAAGGCCAAAATTGATGCGCTCCATGCGGGAGGAAAGATTGATGGTGATAGCTTGATAGCCTTGATTCAGGCTGGAGTGACCATGCTGGGACAAGAGGAGACAGTTGTCGATATTCGACAAATTCATCCCAATCTGCAAAAAGTCACGGCAGTGGGTGATTTGCACGGAAGTTTGGAATGCCTCATGGTGGTCCTCAAAATGGCAGACCTGGAAAGCATTATGGGAGAGGAAAAGGGCTCTGTCATTGTGTTTGATGGAGACTTTGTCGATCGTGGGAACAATTCACTGGAAGTCATTGCCACCCTGCTCTTGCTGAAATTGTCACATCCCAAGAATGTTTTCTTGTTACGTGGTAATCATGAGGATTCCATGACGGCATCCTCGTATGGATTTCGTGAAGAAGTGGATGAAAAGTATGGCTACGACAAGGGAGATGAGATTTGGTGGGAGTTCGGATACCTCTTTGCTGCCTTTCCGATTGTGGCTCGAACCAACATGGCAGCCATTATGCATGGCGGCCTCTGTGTAGAAGAATTTGATCTTGATGATCTCAATGAGATCGCCAAGGAGACTCGTTGCGAGATGAAGACAATTTCAGATCCATATGATGATGAGGAACGGCTCTTGCAGGGAATCTTGTGGAGCGATCCCTCTGAGGAACCAGGCATCAATTTCAGCGATCGGGGTGCTGGATTCACCTTTGGGGCCGACATTTCCGCAGATTTTTTGGACCGGCATGAGCTGAAATACATTATTCGGGCCCATGAAGTTGTGGAAACGGGTCATTGCGAGCATGATGTTGGAGAGGGGCGAGGCGTCATTACCATTTTCTCATCTGCAAACTATCCAGCAGGGGAAGGTACCAACTATGGAGCAGTCCTATTCCTGGATGATCAATCGGGGGAGTACACCACAAAAGACTTCATTCACAAGGAAGACACAGGCTCTCAAGAATCCGAAATGCTTCGAGCCCTGCTGGGGACCTTTGTGGATGGCCACAAGAGTCACCTGACCAAAGCCTTTCGAGAAAAGCAAACCAAGGATGGGTTGGTCACCTGCGAACAGTGGTCAGATGTGATTGCTGAGCTTTTGGAACTTCCCGACATTTGCCTGACATTGTTGGATATGCAACCAGAATTGGCACCTGCCACAGAAGAGGAAGGTGATCACATTGATTGGACAGCCTTTTTGAACAAGTACACAACAATTCCCACTGCACAAGTGCTGGCCAAGGATCAATTGGCAGCCTTGAGTGAGAACAAGGACAAGTTCTTGGATATTTTCCAGCTAATGGACACTTCTGGAGATGGCAACATTTCCAAGGAAGAGTTTGTGTCTGGTATGAACATGTTGAATGAACAAATCGATCAGAACATTGACGATGCTGAAAAGTTGTTTGAAGCATTTGATGTGGACAGCGATGGAGAGATCTCGATCTTGGAGTTCAGCAAGGCTATCCAATCATCAACTGTTTTGCAAGGCATGACAGAAGCATTGAAAGATGATCAGGTGGAGCATTTGAAACAGAATCAAGAAATGATATCGACTTCCTTCAAATATCTGGATAGCAACAAGGATGGTGTGATTGACCGTTCAGAGTTCGAGAAGGGATTTGAAGCATTGAACCAACGATTGCCGGAACGAAACAAATTTGGAAACTATGAGGACTGGTTCAACATGTTTGAGCTGAGCGACAAGGAGCAGATTGGTAAGGCATCTACATACGTCTACACTGCTTCTCAATCTTTGTGCATAGTCCTCATTCATTTGCTTTCATATACTTTGTTCGCTTCAGAATTCAATGCGTTCAAGCAACTGTTTTGCTCAATTTGATGTGTACGCAGATGCCACCAGTAAAGTCTTGGCAAATCATGGGGCACATCAACGGAAACAAGCTGTGGACGACGTGCATAGTGATCGAGATACGTGGGTTCCACTGCAACTGGTATACTCTTCATGCAGGCGGCTGGCTCGCTGCCATGCCCAGTATCTCAGCTCAAGACGATGTCCATGTTTAGGCTCACTCCGCATACGTCTTGGGGTTGATGCAACTTCTTGGGACCGGGGCACACCCTTGTCTCCGGCTTGGAAGAAAGCTGAGGCAACGCTTTCAGATCAGAAGAACGTATACAATGTACTACTTGTCGAGATTCCGGAGTCCGTATTCGACTAAAATGTGCACAACACAACGGCATGTAGCCTTCTTTGTGTCCTTGCGAACCCCGCACATTGGCCGCAGGTCGTCGAAAGAGGTATGGGTGAGCAAGAGTAATCCGATTAACCCGTTAGAGACCAAGAGTGAAGCTATCGCACAACACCATGAATTGTTGAATTCCGGTACAAACCAACGGCTTGCTGCAGCGCACATCATCATCTATTTAGCTATAGCTAGCTCGTGGTAGGGACAGCCGCAACCGCAGAGATCGTTGCTGCGGTTCGAACAACTAAAGCATGGGATTTCCATGCATCTTATGGCAAAGACCCAACTAAGAGATCATACATGTAGAAGCCATGCATCCAACGAAGGGCTGGATCCGGGTTGCTGCAGAGATCATACATGTAGAAGCCATGCATCCAACGAAGGGCTGGATCCGGGTTGCTGCAGGGAGAGCTGGTTTGATTGGGTTGTTAGTACACGGAAACAGTCTCCTCGTGGAAGGCGGAATGGAGCCCGCCAAGTTGGAGTTCTTGTGGTTAGAACGTTGGCAAGGCCAAGCGTTGCAAGCGCCTGTCGTCTAAAGAAGGAGCCATGGTGGCGAAGGATGGATACGGATGACCACACTGGCAATCGCGACCAGTACGGATTTAGAAGACGGCCAATACAGAAGGAGCAAACACGCTGTCTCCGTCGTTCGTTCTACGGTACCGGTATTTCTGTTGTTTCTGCGCGTCCAACGAGCTCTGTTGAGGATCGCCGAGATCCTGTATTTGCATTGACCATTTGCAGCTCCGAATGATTGAATCAGCATGCCGGATGGAGATGAAATGGACTCTGCTGCCCGAGGTGGACACATAAGTCATTGGAGCTCCTTTGGTTATTAATAGTAGAAGGACGAAATTCTAGTTCTACTAGTAGCAGATTCGATTCATTCCGTGGCAGAGCCCCGCCCTTCGTGCCGCTCAAGGAGAATGATCAATCGAATCCAACTTTCTTGAGGAACAAAAAGAGCGTCTTTTGAGACTGTCACTCGAACGCGAAGGACCAAACGAACAGCACCATTGTCAATGAACAAAAAGGAGGAAAAGCAGGCATATGGTTAGCAAGACTTGATACAATAATAGAAGAAGAAGTGAAGGACTGTTTGGGTGCCATGTTTCCAGCGGAGAGCAAATGGAACGGACTCATGAAATGGCCGCCCACTCACCCTCCTTCAAAGGCTCGAAGCAGCTGCAAGCAGCACTGGAACATGGCACCATGAGAAGTATGTCAACACCATGTGAACTGACCTTTGGAAATGCACGAGACTCGAGAACACGAACGGCTAAAGCACCATCGCCAACCGGTCGACGAACGGCCAACATTGAACAGACCTAATTGCATGTCAAGACCTACGTTGGGAACTAAAGAGGATGAGGCGGCAACGGTCAAAGACCGTAAAACAAACAAACAAGCAAGCAAACATGGCACAAGACAGGAACACTGGACTTACCTTGCACGAGTACGCTTCCATCTCCACTGGAACCACCGCAAGACAACACATTGCCGGCGAAGAGTGAACGTGGGCCCCACAGGGGAAGCCCAATCACTCTCCTGCAAGCAGCACCGGCAAAGGTGTCATCGTCATGCAATTGGAAGAAGTTGTGATTGTGTTTGAGAGAGAAAAAGAGAAAGAGCTTGCTGAACGTCGCTTCATTCAATTCAATTCGTTTCGTTTCAGCGACGACTTTTTGGCAAGACCAACATCAAAATCGAAAGAGGTGTCAAAAATCAAAAATCAAAAATAAATCAAAATGGAGTCGTCATGAATTGCCGTTTTATTTCAACTGAAACGACCGTCGGCAAAGGTACCGTACGACTGGTGCTTGTCGGAGGCTGCTTCCAAGCACGCATCCCGTGGTTGAAAGCCACTGTTTCTACTAGCCAGCCAGCCAGCCAGTCTATCCAACTTGAAATAAGAGGAGCCAGTCATGGTGGAGCCTTCTTCCAAAGGAGTAGCCGCTGTAAAGAGATCTATCGAACCAACGAGTGGATCGAGACGTCAGTTAGTTGAGGCCTACAGTACTCGAGTATCGTAAGCCAAAAACTGACCAGCTTATCGTTGAAACCCTCGTTTTGACTTCGGATGAAACGACTTTGTGAGGTCGAGCTTGAAAACCGCTTAGAGCTGGCATAAGAACATCATCATTCATCCCGATATTCCAAGAGGATTTATGATCACGTTTCGAAGATGACTCATTAAGTACCGCAGCAGGATCCAAAGGAAGTTGAAACATCAAATCGACGTCATCAAAGATACACGCGGAGTGGTGGAAATCTTTCTCGACGGCAAAGATCCTTCGAGAAGCGCGGACCAAAGATCGGGATTGGCATCCAAACGGAGTAGTGAGAAACACAGAAACGGTCATAAAATAGAAGACAGGACCTCCAAAGTCTATAGCACTTACACTACCAACCATCCAACAGATATTCAAGATATCCAACCAACCACTTATTACTATTACCAAGATGAGATCTATTTTGTGTTTCCTGCTTCTTTCCGTGTTCGCGGCGTCTGTGTCTGCGGAAGACGTGGTGATTGATTTCCGTGCCGGTGCTACCAAGTTGGGTGTGTTTTACCAAGGCAACCAAGAAGACACGACTTTGGATTTGGAAGTGGACGCCTTCAAGGGCTTCGTGGAACCCTACGGTCACAACACGCAGTACATGAAGACGGGAGAAGCATTCGTGGTCCGCTCCACCGATTTCAAGTTGCGCGTCAAGGTCATTGTCTGGGCCAACACGGATTACACGTCCAAAGACGAACGCCCCTACAAGATTACACTCAAAAATCTACTCATGGACGAAGCCGTGGAACTCAAACTCAGTGATAAGGGAGGATACCAATGGATCGAAGAAGGAATCTACGTCACTCACATGACCGATGTCCAACACGACTTTGAATTCCGTGATCATGCCGGAGAAACCATGCTTGCCGTTCGACTCTTTCATGCCGCCGAACAAGATCTCTAAATGCTAAATACTTGAGATATAGAGAAATCTGGTTTGGAAGTGAAAGTTTAGAGGACGCAAAATTAAAAGTGATAGAAAACTAAAGACGTGGCTCTTGAATTATTTGTGAGGCTGCTTCCTAAAGTTCAATGCTCAGATCTGATTCCATCCTAGCTAGGGCGAATCTATTTGATTCTTTTGTGTCATGTGCTACTATTGCTCTGATCATCTGAGCATCACTCATCGTTTTGTAATATTTCCGTCCTGAGCACCCTCAGGGCTACAGCAGATTGGGGAGTCCCCCCTGCATGGCACAGCAGTAGCTGGTCCTTCAGAGTACTTTATCCCGACGCATCAAAACACAACCAGCTCTGGATGTGCCTTCAATGAGGGAAGATGGGAGGGAATCTGACCTGGGCTTGGATGAAGAGCCGTGGCACTTGCTTGGCCTCGTCCCAAAAGGATGGCTACTAGCTAGGTAACCAACACCAAACTTCTTATGGTCGAGGCAACAACCCGAGGCGCCCTCAGAAACAGGACGGTTGCATCTTTGTGTGTTGCTATCCATCCAGGCAGTACTGTAGCTGCCTTTTAAAATAGGCATTAGCTAGCTAGATGCCAGGAGACTTTCGAGGTGTGAAGGGATTTTTGGGTTGGGAAGTTATTTACGGAAACCGGCGCCAGGCTTATGCCAAGAAGAGGAGGCGAAATTCGAGGTGTCATCGCCCAATGCTGGCTGCCAAAGCTCATCCCCGGCCTTTGGGGTACGCAGATGGATGTCTACCGGTACATGTACTGTATGTAGTCTAGCAAGGAATCATCGTCTAAGCGAAAAGATAAATTTTCTGCAACCAGCTATGAGCTCATGGCTTTCACCTTGTGCATAGAAGGAGCCGAATGCTACGGTAGGAATGATTGAATCAGGCCCTTCGGTCAAGTAGATGGGACAGCTGGCGGACTTTCGCTCGGCAAAGACAGCCCACAGATCTCCCAACCTGCTGAGAGCGATGCTCCTCCACTACGAGGAAGCCATCCAACTCAAATATTCCCTACTCCCTTTACTGCAGACAGCACACAGATCGGCCGTTTCATGATCTAAGCACTCGCGAAGGCATCGAATCCGGAGGTAGAAATATGTAATTGAGTTGAGTATTTGCTTCGCTATCTGCTATCTATACTTCAATGTTCGTGCATTCAGCTTTCTTGGAGAATCGCTTGAGGATTCCAGCAGTCACCTTTCCAGGTCCCAATTCGTACGCCTTCTCAAAGTCCTTGCCGAGCATCAGGTCCATGGTGTTTTCCCAGAGAACAGGAGAAGTAACTTGGGTGGCCAACAGCTTCTTGATGGTGTCGGGGTCAGAGTGGGGCTTGGCATCCACATTGCTGATCACAGGAATGCGGGGCTTTTTGATTTCAACATCAGCCAAGACATCTTCCAAAGAAGAAACAGCAGGGGACATGAATTCTGAAACAAGGCAAAAGGCAATATTAGAATTTTCCTCTGCGAGCATACAACATACGTTACGTCCACACAAAACAACAAAATTCATTCACGTACCAGTGTGGAAAGCTCCAGCAACCGCAAGCTTGACAGTCATCCGAGCCTTGAATTCTGGCTTGGCCAATTCAGCAACAGAGTCGCATGCAGCGGAGGCTCCACTGACAGCATAGTTACCTTTGCACAGGTAGTTGGCAATTTGGATGTTCTCTCCTGATTTCTCAGTGGCCATGGCGCAAAGGTCCTTGACCTTTCCACTGTCAAGTCCAATAACCGAAACCATGCCTGTGTCGATTGCATCAGAAGCAGCCTGCATGGCTTCCCCACGAGCCTTTGTGATTTTGACTCCATCCGCAAAGGAGATTGCACCGGCAAAGCAAAGTGCTGAGTATTCTCCCAAACTCAATCCCATGGCACAAGTGGCACTATCCAAAGCTTCTTGTCCTTCCTCTTGCTTGAGTTTTTCAACAGCTGCCATACTGGCCACAAAAATAGCAGGTTGACTGATGACAGTGGAATCCAATTTTTCTTTGGGTCCTTCCGTGCAGACCTCCAACAAATCATATCCCAAAATTTCATTGGCTTCATCAAAGAGTGCCTTGGCTGCTGGGACATCTTTGCAGACTTCGGCGCACATACCAACAAATTGAGCCCCTTGGCCAGGGAACATGAAGGCAACCTTTGTGGAGAAATCATCAAAATCACTGTCACTTCCAAAAATGGCAGTGCTGCTTCGGCTTCCAAAAGTGCGGGCAGCAGGGACAAAGGCAGCACTGAAGCGAGAGGCTGCCAGCAGGATCACGGAGGAGAAAATTATTTTGACCATCTTGGTGATTTTAGTTTATTGCAAAGAGGGAGAGATGAAATAGGATTATGAAAATTTGTGAGCACTGTCGGTTCAAGGGGGCAAGAATATGTTGTTGATGCCAGCGAAGCCATCAATCAAAATTGACCAACGTAGGCAGAGACAAAGACATCACCTCGATAGCAGCTGATGACAACATCAACCATCACCGGCCAAGGTCGGCGTGCTGGATCGAGAGTCGAGTCGAGTCTGGATGAAACTAAAGAAGGTCGGTTGCATGTTGCATGCTTGGCGGAGCTGACATCCGCGTTTGGGTGTCGTCAACTGCAACGGGCCGAAAAGACTGACGTCACAGTTTCAAAAGATACCGCGACACACTTCAATCGTGCATCGGCTCTACAGGCTTTCAATTACATCACAGCGGTGGTATGGGAGTTTAGGGATGGTCCGGCCGGTTGATCTTCGAAAAGAACGGCAACGATTGCTGTGCGAATTAGACTGTTCTTTAGTCTGCCGAGCTTTTGACGAATGGTCAATATATGGGCTGTACGAAACACCCCTTATGGAGATATTATCTGGGCTGCTCTTTGGTCTTGATCGAATCCGCCCGAAGCTGTCTAGCTAGGTACTGTACGGTAGATGCTCGCTTTACCGCAGACTTGCATCCGTTCATCGCTACAATATAGCTACAAGCAACTTTGGCTCTCTCCCGAGCTTCGACTGTATCCCTGTTCCATGTCCAGACCACCAATTCTTTGGCATCCCCAGGTCAATCAATCTCCAAGCCCCACTCCAGGAAGTGCATCGGTTCCATCTCCAGGCCCCCGCCAGCACTTCTCTCCACCGTCCTCTGAGAGCCATCCCTGCTTCATCAGAGCGACAGAGAGATGTTTGTGAAGAGGATCTAGACTCTGGTGCTTGACGACTCAAATGAATCGAATCAAGTTTTGTGTTCTTCTCGCTTTCGTTTCATCGGTTTTTCAGTCCAAGTCTTTGTCATCTTGGCCTAGCTAGCTAGCAGATCTACTAGCTAGATGATTAGCTTCAATTTGATTCTTCAATGATTATAGCTATGATAATACGCTTCCTCACGGTTGCGAGCCTTTCCTTCTGGATTCCTAATCTCTTGCAACTTCGTAAGGTACCGGTACAGGGACTGGTCCCTTTACAGCTCTGCAGTTGGGTGCTATTAATAATGAAAAGGACCCTAATCTGTTCTTAAGGCTTCAGATACAGACTCACTAAGTCTTCAACAATGAATGAGCTGCTTAAGTCTTTCGCACAACAGCACTCGACCATCCACAATGGCGCTCTCCCTTTTCCATAAATTGTTCGGTCTCGTTGTCTTATCGTTGACTGTCATCTACCGTATGCAAAGCATCAATAGACTAGTACTTACATGTAGTATACATGTGTTGGGCTGTGTACAAGTAAGTGAAGTGCCATGACGCCTAGCTAGCTGTTTCTGATCAGTTCTAAACAAAGACGAACGAAGGCCAGCCAGGATGAGCCACCCGCATCAGCAGCAGCATCAGCATCAAGGTGGTTGGATGCCACCTTCTGTGGATCCCTATCAGTCGCATCATCCACAACAGCCGCAACAGCCTCAATATGGTGGAAGTGGAAACAACAATTACATTTGGGCGACAGCTCCCAACACGAACGCTCCTGTCTTTGTGCCTCCTCCGCCGCCGCCACCACAAGTACATGTACAACCGCAAGTACAGCTACAGCAGCATCAGACTCAGATGCAGCTGCAGCCATCTTACTCCGAGTACCAGCAGTTTCCAGGACATGAGCAGTTTTCAGGACATGATCAGTCATTCCATCAACCACCCCCTCCGCCACCACCGCCTCCGCCCAAGGCTCCCTCGAGAAATCGATGGGGACCTCCCGTTGCAGCATCAGTGCCCGTAGCTCCATCAATAGTTCTTCCTCCTCTTCCATCAGACGTGGCTCCCCCACCGCCTCCTCCTCCTCCTCCGGAAGAACCTCAGCATGCACATCAGTATGAAGTGAAGAAACGAAAGAAACAACCTTCCACCCCACATAACAATAAAAAGAAAAAGGCCAACAAAAAGCAAAGGAGCAAAAAGAAGACGACCTTGGATTACTCCTACTATCAACGTCAACCCTCTCCTCCTCATCCAGCCACACCACCACCTCGAAACGATACCAACACTGATGACATGTCCATTTCCTCTGACGACGACAAACAAGAACCTTTCAAATCACTAGTCAAAACCGACGAAATGGAAGAATTGTATCCGGATAGCATCATCAAGACCATTACTACTGCTACAAGTACTCAGCGATATCCCGTTCGCTCCAATTATGATTCCATGGAGTCTGATCTGGAAGCCGAGGACGAGACAGCAGAAGCGTCGTCCAAAGAGGAACAATTGAACCGTATCAAGGAACGACTTCGACTCGCTCAACTAAAACAGAAACAGGCACTTCTACGCCAACAAAAGCAACAAAATAAAGATCAACCAACTACAGATCCAACCCAAACAGAACCCAACGACGATCTAAAAGCCGCCAAGGAACGACTCGCGGAAGCACAGAAAAAGCGCAGCCGGCTCTTGAAGCAAAAACAGCAGCAGCAGCAACAAGAAACTCCACAAGATGACAATAAGGATAAACTGGTGGCGGCCAAGGAACGATTGCGACTAGCACAAGCCAAGCGAGAAGAAGCACTCATCCGACAGCAGGAGCAACAACAAGAAGAAGAGGCTGTAGAAGCACAAGTACAAGAACCCCCGATACCAAACTCAACCGAGGAAACAACGGAATCGAATAGTACTACTGCCCCCAAGAAGTTGTCTCTTCTCCAAAAGCTCAAACAACGACATGCAGCCCTGACTCTCCAACAACAGCAATCACGGACGGCATCCAGTGATGATGCAGAAGAGTTGTTTGCGACACAACTGACACCCCTAACCGCATTGCAAGAAGGACAACTCGACTCATTGCTATTTACCAACATTGGAGAAACCGGGACACATGAAACGGTACGATTCCCGACAGCGTTCATTCCAACGCCGGACGACGACGAGGAAAGTGATATGGAAGATTGTAGTGGCAGCAATAATGACGACGATGACGACAAGACTCTTGATCCACGAGAACAATCCAATCCGGAGCTAGCAGAAGAACTTGAACAGAGCACGGATCAGTTTGCCGATACAGAAGCCGTCATCATCGCGACAACAACGCCAAAACAAAAAGCCACGGATGCCAATAATATGGATCAATTTGCCGATGCCGACAGTGACAAGGACGACGAAGAACTACCTCCATCTGCGGCGAGTAAACGTGCCGTGACAATGGGTCAATTCGACGACCCAGATGACGATGATCCGAGCAGTTTTGGAACCACGCCAGTAATAGAAACAGTTGTGGAAGGAGAGACCACCACCAATGCAGATGGGGACATTGCCACGAACCAAAGCACAAAAGCACCGATGGACGAGTCAAACGACGTCGACATGGACGCAGAAGAAGAAGCCATTCGAAAACGAGTCTTTCCACCCAATGGTGACTCCCACAATTATTTGAAGAGCATTGAGGTGTTGAAGCGACGAATGGAGTTGAAACGCAAAAAGATTGAGTTGAAAGAACGGCTAAAAGTGCAGCGCCTAGAGCTTGCCAAGGAACATCACCAAACGGGTCTCCGAGCTAGAATCTCGTGGAGTCGTTCCGAAGAAGACGACGAAGACAGCACCATGCTCGAAAACAATAACAACGACGACGACACCTTGTTTGAAGTCCCAAAGTCCATTTCAAGACTTAGCAAGGAAGAACTCCAGGAACGCCGCATCAAAGCACAGCAAATGATGGATATCACACAGACAAAGCACTTGGTTTCCAAGCAGAGCTACCTGTTGTCCGAACAGACCAAAAAGGTTGCGACCGATGAGGAAGAAATCCAGGAATGCAAAGAATTGGTGCGGCGGAAGAAACGTGAGTTGAAACAGGAAAAGGATCGAATGCAAACCTTGCAGATTCGTAGGACCGTGGTGGATGGATTGCTTCACGAAAAGGCGCAGATGTTGATGGCCAAAAGACGACAACTATACAAGCTTCAGGGACCTCGAAGAGACAGTTTCACGGTAGCTTTTACACATCGGAGTGACGAGGGAGAAGATGGGGATAGTTCTGATTCGGCAAAGAACGTCGCAGGCGCTGTGGGGACAACAACAACAAATATGGGACATGGGGTCGACTCCATGAACGACAACTAGTAGTGGCGAGAGCAATGATGCGATGTAGTTTTGAAAACCGGAAGTGGCGAAAACGAGATTTGGGATGCGACGCTGCGACGGAGTCAGACTTGGTATCGCAGCTAGCTAGTGCGCGTTGGTGAGTTTAGCTGTGCACTGATTGTGGGAGTGAAGGAGCAGAGGACTTATTATTGACAATCACGGTCGGCGTGATGTGCTTGCAACAGTTTAGACAGTAGAAGTGGTTCAGAATTGCTTGAGTCGTAAGTTATGCTTGTGACAGGACAGGCTTTGAGCGTTCATGCGCCTTAACACATTTTTCTTGTTCCCAGCACGTGTTCCTTCCAGGTACGTAACACTTGAAGGCTTGCTGTGTATAGCAGCCATGCACTTGCTCTTGATGCTATTGTCCTCGGGACTATCTTTTTACTGGAGCAGGTCCAGGAAAGTAGGGGCTTGCAAATGGGAGGTGCTTTTGATGTTCACATGTTTTGTGTCTTCCCTTTCTACCTGAAGTACTTTTCGTTGAATGGGGATGTTGGTTTATATGATGTTGTCTGTGGGCGAGCTTGGAGCCCGGTTGTACCCACGATTGGGATGTGCGATTGATGCTTTGCCAGCTTGTTTCTCTCTTTTGTATTTGGGGCTGGATATGCGCTCTTCTCAGTCTCATAAACCACTTGTCAAATGGATGGGATGATCACTGTTCACGTTGATTGCGCGCTGTTTACCACTGTCTATCACTTTGGAAAACTTGGTTGCAGTGGTTCGCAGCGGTCGCCAATTTGGTACAGTGGTAGTCACACCCGGTGGTAACATAGGTAACACAGTTGTGGAAATGGGGTTCAAAAGCAAGTGGATCCACATGTGGCGTTCGTCTTCATGGGTATCATCGTCTGCCGTCTGGCACTGTACCAGTAGTTTATAGCTCTTTTATGCATACACGTACTACTTACTACTGGCTACTGGTCTAGCCAGTATTATATCATAGTAACAATGGAAGTTGGCATGCAGTTAGAGTGAACTATGGGGGGGAAGTGCAGTGCATTTGTAAAAGCGAACACTAATAAGCAATCACAGGGCACAACAAATTTCAATTAACTTGCAATGGCAATGGGCAGGTAAGATATCGTACGGGCACTTATTACCATGTACTATCAGGGCGCCATGAACTTGTTCAATGAACATCCCAAAGAAGGGCAGTAGGTCATTGTGCCAGCACCTGCCTTAACCAGTGAGGGAAAGATGACTTGTGGAAGGTGACGCTTGACCCCTTTTGCTCACAAATCACACAATCTTCAACACAAAAAAACGAACAACCCAGATCCAAAAACTAATCTTCCAATCTACAGAATCACTCATCTACATCTACCAGCTACCTGATACATCTATTAATAAAGCTACAGTACATTATTACATTACACGATGACGCAATTAGCCAACGCCGTGAGACGAGCCGCCAGAATTGGTGGCCGTAGTTTGGTCGCAGTCACAGGCGCCTCCTCGGTTGGGACGCTCTACGTTTACAAGACGGACGAATCCTGGAAGCGCCTTATTGACTTTCATATTTTAGTGACGCCCATGTGCTGGGATTACTACCAATTCTACCAGAGCAAGAGTATCAGTAGCGCCGATGATGAGGAGGAGCTGCTGCGTCGTTTGCACGAAAAACATGCCCCGCTGGCATTGCAACATGTGTTGTCGTTGGGAGGCTACTATGTCAAGTGTGCCCAAATGTTCTGTGGAATGAACCTCTTGCCTGCGGCATACGAAAAAGAGTTTTCGTGCTTGTTGGACTCTGTTCCAGCCAAACACTCCTTTGCTACCATCCAGTCCGTTGTCGAAAACGAATTGGGTGGCAAGCTCCAGGATCACTTTGCCGAGTTTGACGAAACGCCCATTGCTGCCGCCAGCATTGGACAGGTTCATTGTGCCAAGGTCCGAGTTCAAGACAAAAGTAGCGGAGAGGAAGTACTCAAATCCGTCGTGGTCAAGGTGCAATATCCGGAGGTAGAGAAATACTTCAAGATGGATGTCCTTGGCATGAAGAACCTGTGCTATTTATGTACCCTTTGTGGCATTGAAATTGGAATCGATCAGCAAAGTTTGGACAAAATCTTCAACGAATTCACCAGCTCCTTCCAAGAAGAGTTTGACTACCGATTGGAAGCCCAAAACATGAAACTCATTGCCGACAATATGGAGGCCGTGCCCGAATTTGCAAACTCTGTCAAAGTCCCACACCCGTTTCTAGATACCACCAGCCGCAAAGTTTTAACCATGGAAAAGATACAAGGCGAGCCTATAAAGAAACGAATGAACCGCATTCTTCAAGAGTGGGCCGAACGATCCGGCAAAACAATGGAAGAATTGCAACAGGAGCTGCAAGACAAATTCCAAGATCCCGTAGAGCTCCAGAAAATGATGGAACAGAAACCGCCGTCAAAAGCTCAACTATTTCTCTACCGGGTGATGCTACGGACTTGGGATTTGGGGGCCAACACTGGAATCTGGCTGGAAAACCAATTACGTTCCAGTACGCAGCAGCAGAAAGCATACAAATGGAGTACGCTCCCGGTAGACGCCTCTCGTATCTGCCGCCTCCTATTCCAAGTCCACGCCCACCAGTTGTTTATCAATGGAGCCTTCAACGCGGATCCGCACGCCGGAAACATTCTGATCTGCGAAGACACCAACAACACTAACAACGGCGCTCCCATTCTAGGCCTGATCGACTTTGGGAATGTTCAACGGATTCCCAACCAAGATCGGCGCAAAGCGTTGGCAAAGTTTTACCTATCCATGGCTACAGATTTTAGCAACGACAAGAGCTCCTGGAACGATGACGAAATCGCTCGTCGATTTGCGGCTGTGGGAGGCGAGTCGGTCCACATGGACACTGCCTTTCTGGCATGCAATGCGCTCACCATGTACGACATGCGTTTTGACGCGGCCACGTTGGCCCGACTGTCGCTCCGTCATTGATTTGTAGAATTTCCAGGACTGATGTTTAGTCCCGCGCACTAATGAGCGCCCATTAGTGCGCTCGGCGCACTAATGGGCGCCCATTAGTGCGCCGAGCGCTCATTAGTGCGCCGCGGCGCACTAATGAGCGCTCATTAGTGCGCGGGACTGAAACTGTGGGACTGTTCGTAGTTTGTAGATAATCGTACTGGGAATGAGATGGTATGCTTCGACGCCCCTCGGTCGATCCACGAATCGAATCTCCTCCTGTACCGACCAACCTTATGGATGTGTACTCGGAAGATAACTTTAAGGAATTCCCCGCGGATCTGGTCAGCTTGCAAAGGCTTTGCCAGACGCTGGTGGGCGTAGCCGGCATTATTGGCGCGGGTCAGCCCTCGTGTGCTCGCATGTGGGAAAGGCAGAGAGCCCCTGAAACGCACGCGGTTGTACTATACGTATAACATTTTCACTATGTATTCTACACATCATACGTATTACACATCTAACCTTTTTAATATGTATTAGGCAAGTCATACGTACAGACAACACAGTAACACAAGTGGAAAAATATTATACGTATTACATGTATTATGTGTTGTACGTGTTTTATGTATAATACATAGTGACGAAATTTTTGCTAAGTTTTTTTGCCAGGTGTTTTGCTAGGTGTTGGGAGCAGAGAGGAAGATGCACTGTTGCAGGCCATAATACCTGAAGCTTATCAAGTAAAATGACTCTTACCTATACTGAACTCTCCCATGTTGCTAGATAAAATATCAATGATGAAGAAGGACTCCTGCTTCATCATTGTGAAGTAGCAACCTCACTAACTGATATACACAAAGGAGATAAACATTATAGATACTCTGGGGTTCGATAAATATCGAATGGAGAAATCGAAGGTGTATTGGCTACCTTCATGTATAACAAGGGATTCGATAAGAGGCGGAATCACTTACCATATGTTGTCCAAGGAGTCGTTTTTACCAATCTCTCTCTTT